TTTGAAGATGGAAGGGGAGCCTGAGCCATTGAATGGAGGAGGCCTCTAGAAGCTGGAAAAGGCAAGAAACAGATTCTCCTCTGGAGCCTCTAGAAGAAATGCAGCTCTTCCGGCAGCTTGATTTTAGCCCAATTAGTCCCATTCTGGACTTCCGCCTTCTAGAAATGAATGCAGAGGCGTTTACGGAAGGACGCAGAAATGAAGAGAGGATTCCCAGCTCTGTTTTGTTTTGTTTTTTATGTATTTTGAGAGAGGGCACAAGCGGGGGAAAGGTAGAGAGAGAGGGAGAAAGAGGGAATCCCAAGTTGTTAGCACAGAGCCCGATGTGGGGCTCGAATTCAAGAGCTGTGAGATCATGACCTGAGCTGAAACCAAGAGTCGGATGCTTAACCGACTTAGCCACCCAGGCACCCCACCATCTGTTTTGATATGAACTTTGAGACCTTTATTTAAAAAATTGAAATATACATTTAGACCCATAATTTCATCCCTTTATTAAAATTGCCCTTTTTGTGGGGCTCAGTTGGTTAAGCATCTGATTCTAGATTTTGGCTGAGGTCCTGATCTCATGGTTTGTGAGTTTGAGCCCCAAGTTAGGCTCTGTGCAGACACAACGAGCCTGCTTGGGATCCTCTCTCTCCCTCACTCTCTGCCCCTCCCCTGCATGCCTGTGCTCACTCTCTCTCTCTCTCAAAAATAAACATAAAAAAAAAAGTCCTTCTTGTATATTTTCTTCAGCCATATTCTGTTGTAGGATAAGCGTGATTTTGTATCCTGTTTTTTCCTCCCAGCTTCATATTATAGTATAAGCATTCATATGTTGCTCCTTTAACAGATTTTAGAAGCCATCTAGATTTGGGGGGCCTGGGTGGCTCCGTCAGTTAAGCCTCTGACTTTGGCTCAGGTCATGATCTCGCAGTTTGTGAGTTCGAGCCCCGCATCGGGCTCTGTGCTGACAGCTCGGAGCCTGGAACCTGCTTCGGATTCTGTGTCTCCCTCTCTGTCTGCCCCTGCCCCGCCCACGCTCTGTCTCTGTCTCTCCCTTTCTGTCTCAAAAATTAACATTAGAAGCCGTCTAGATCCAAAGATGCTGAGAGTTTGGAATCATCTAATATAATTTTTTGGTTTTCTAGGGAGGAACCTGAGGTTTACAGAGACCACGGAACCATAACTGGAAGTCCAGGCTCATGAACTCCTGGCAGCAACATTTCCATTGTATCACCTTCCACGCCTCTGCAGACCCCTTCCTGCCTCCAGGGCCACCTTCTGGAATGGAAAGTGGGAGGAGAGTTTAGAGAATTGTCCTGTACAGGGGCGCCAGGTGGCTCAGTTAGTTAAGCAGCTGACTCTTGACTTTGTCTCAGGTCATGATCTTAAGGTTCGTGAGTCTGAGCCCCACACTGGGCTCTGCGCTGACAGCGTGGACTCTGCTTGGGATTCCCTTTCTCCCTCTCTCTCTGTCCCTTCTCCGTGCTCTCTCTCTCCAAGTTGATAAATAAAGTTAAGGAAAAAAAGAATTGTCCTGTATAAAATGTGTTTTAAAACGTCCCCGGGATTTGTTTTAGGCGAGTATGTATGGCAGCACGTGCAGACACAGAAATGCCTGTCATGGGGCGCCTGGGTGGCTGGCTCAGTTGGTTAACCATCTGACTCTTGATTTCGGCTCAGGTCGTGATCTCATAGTTCGTGAGTTCGAGCCCCACGTCGGGCTCTGCGTGGACAGTGCAGAGCTCGCTTGCGATTCTTTCTGTCCCCCTATCTCTGCTCCTCCCCTGCTCCCACCCTTTCTCTCAAAATCAATTAAATAAACATTAAAAGTCAAAATAAATAAATAAATAAATGACTGTCGTGAAGGGAGGGTTTATACTCACAGGTCCCTAATAACAGGAGGCGTGACACAGTGTAGGGCCACCTGGGAAATCACCGGGGTCGGGAGGCAGCAAGGGCAAGGGGACAGCATGGACTCAAGACTTTATTGTGGTTTTTGTGGGATGGAATGGGAAAGGCTTAGGGTTGGATGGTTTCACTAATTTCAGCAGGCTCTGGGCTCTAGGGATGGTCTCTACTTGTCTGGTACCTGGCCCTGGGGGGATTTGGGGCAGGAAGGATATTGGCTTGGTGGGCGACAGCTGGAGAACAGAGGGGGTTGGGGATATGGGCTCAGGATTGGTTGGTTTGCAATTCACGCTGGCAGGCAAGTTGTTTGCTACTCCTGGGAATTTGCTAACCCGGAGAGTGGCTGGCCCTCCCCAGGTCGTCAAGGCCCCAAGGTGTCCGACTATCATAAAATACAAACAATAACAAACACGGTTGATACAAAATGCTTTGCTGGCACGCACCGTTTTCACAGCGCCCATTTTTCTTTTAAAATCTGTTGCAGGGGCGCCTGGGTGGCGCAGTCGGTTAAGCGTCCGACTTCAGCCAGGTCACGATCTCGCGGTCCGTGAGTTCGAGCCCCGCGTCGGGCTCTGGGCTGATGGCTCGGAGCCTGGAGCCTGTTTCCGATTCTGTGTCTCCTCTCTCTCTGCCCCTCCCCCGTTCATGCTCTGTCTCTCTCTGTCCCAAAAATAAATAAACGTTGAAAAAAAAAATTAAAAAAAATAAATAAAATAAAATCTGTTGCAAGGCCTCTGGGAGTAGCCACACCCAGCAGATGCTCTGTCTCCCTACATCATGATGTGTGTCTCCCATGAAGACACTTGATGTTGGCTTTGCCAACTCTGGAAGACAAGAAGATCAAGAAAGGAACAAGATGCGTCGACCATAACCACCACCGCAACGCAAAGGACTATGCACCTTGCATCAGCCAACAAGGTTGATCAGACTTCGCAGAAGGTAGCAGTCCCAGTTAATGTCCAGATGGAGGTGGGGAGGGTTGAGGAACAATCCCAGGGTCTAGCCTGGTTGGTGGCACAGCTTCAGGGGTAAATGTCTGGGTGCAGTGTTCGCTCCCGTAAGGCCACCTGCTCCTGACAGAAAGGAGATGGTTGGAGGTTGACCTTTCTCTTATTCCCTTTCCCTTTTATAGCCACCAGTCCCGGGCCCTTGCCCCACATCTAACGGATCTAGATGTGCCTCAGTGAGAGAAGACTGTCTGAATTTCTCATGGTAAAGACTCTTACCATCCTCAGTATAAAATAGGCCTCCTTGGTATTGTGCCGACAGTGCTTTTTTTTTTTTTTTTAATGTTTGTTTATTTATTTTGAGAGAGAGAGAGAGAGAGAGAGGTACAGCCACTCTGGAAAACAGTGTGGAGGTTCCTCAAAAAATTAAAAATAGACCTACCCTATGACCCAGCAGTAGCACTGCTAGGAATTGACCCAAGGGATAGAGGAGTGCTGATGCCTAGGGGCACTTGTACCCCAATGTTTATAGCAGCACTCTCAACGATAGCCAAAGTATGGAAAGAGCCTAAATGTCCATCAAGTGATGACTGGATAAAGAAGATGTGGTCTATATATACAATGGAACACTACTTGGCAATGAGCAAGAATGAAATCCTGCCATTTGCAGCAACGTGGATGGAACTAGAGGGTGTTATGCTAAGCGAAATAAGTCAGAGAAGGACAGATATCATGTTTTCCCTCATATGTGGATCCTGAGAAACTTAGCAGAAGACCAAGGGGGAGGGGAAGGGGGAAAAAAGTTACAAACAGAGAGGGAGGGAGGCAAACCGTGAAAGACTTTTAAATACAGAGAACAAACTGAGGGTTGATGGGGGATGGGGGAGAGGGGAAAGTGGGTGATGGGCATTGAGGAGGGCCCCTGTTGGGATGAGCACTGGGTGTTGTATGCAAGCCAATTTGACAATAAATTATATTTCCGAGAGAGAGCGAGAGAGAGAATCCCAAGCAGGCTCCGTGCTGTCAGTGAAGAGCCCAACGTGGGGATCTGAAATCAAGAGTCAGGTGCTTAACTGAGCCATCCAGGCACCCAGTGCCAGCTATTGTTAAACCTGCTTTCCTGGGTGTGGGGGTGGACGTGTGGGAAAACACTCTCCTCTATGTTCTTGGAAGATCAGTGATGTTGGAACTCGGGCTTTCCCCTTCCTTTTCCTTCCAGGCTGGATGGGAACATTAAAACGCTGGGTCCGTATCCTACTGGATGGGCTCCTGTTTGTCGCCCCCTCCTCATGCCCCCCCTGCAGGAGAACTAAAGACTTTTTTGCCCACGGGGCGAAAAGAATCGTTTAGAAGCAGCTTCCAATGTGTCTTAGAACCCCAGAAGAGCTGGGGGGGGGGGGGGAGGGCTGCCATTTTGGAAGAAGTCAGCGGCTTATGGAGGCTCTAGCTGTGGGACCTTGGGCAAGTCACCCAACTTTTCTGAGCATGCCTGAGTTTCCTCATGCAAAACGGGTGCAAAAAACAGCATCCCCTTAAGCATCCTTGGGAGGAACATACTGAAAAGCCGTAGAGCCCCGCGTGCAGCCTGCCCAGGGCTGGCTCGTTTACTTCTACTAGTCATGTTCAGCTCTCGCCCCACCTCTGCAGTGTATCAGATTTGCTTTTTGTTCCAGGCACACTGCAACGAGGCTGAGCAAATAGGAATTGTGGACCTAGGAGTCCCTCCTAAAACTGGGGAAGAGAGGGACAGGAGAGCGTGTTGAATAGATGACCATGCTTCGGGTCCCGTCCTGTGGTTCTTTCCCACCACGCCGTCTACATCATAAAAACTCCATCTCCCAACTCTTCATCCTCGCCTTCCGACCGCTTCCACCTGGGCCTCAACGTCCTTGCCTCCTCTTGTCCCCCTTCCTCCCCGACATTCTCTTCTGCTTCCACTGACTGTTTCCAGCATGGTTTCCACCCGGGTCCCGCCCAGTCCTGTCTTCAAGGCTCTAGGCATGCTCTGGGTACATTTTCGTCTCTCGTTTACCTTCACCGGTTCAATTCCCACCTGAAAGGTTTTGTAGACCTCCCCAGTCTTCATCTGTGGTTCTGCTGCCTGTTTGGGCATTTAACCCTGTACTGCCTTGGAGAATTTAATCACTGCATATTTACCAGTTCTGCCATTAGCCTCATTGAAGGTCAGGGCCATGTCTCGGCTCCTCCTTTTCCTGCACTGCGCCAGGAAAGCAGGGAGAAAACTGACATATATTGAATGCGCACTCTGGACTGACTCACTAGAGACATTTAATCTGCACTATACAGCCCACTGAGGATCACTTTTTACAGATAAGGAGACTGAAGCTCCGAGATTGAGGGTGGCGTGCCCAGGTTCTCAGAGCTAATCCGGATTGTTCCGAGTCTAAAGCCGGTGCCTTCCCGGCCACGCCAGGCATTAGGCACACAGCAGGCGCTCAGTAGCCTCGTGTCCTCAGGTCGCAGCATCTCCCATGGGAGCATTATAGGCAGAGGGGCAAGGGAATGAATTAAGCCACCCTCCACAAGGTTATCCTGGACGTAGGCACCTGCCCCCAGAGTGGTTCAAAGGCACTGCCAGCCCACTGATGGCACTCGGCACCCCACGTGTTTCTGTGTAGTGTTTGGGTTAACATGATGCGTGTGTGTTCGCGTGAAAATGCTATGTGAGTTTGGCGACACTTGAAGTTACCCTCCGTGGCACAGTGGCATGAATGGGCCAGACTTTAATTTTCCAAGTGGTGGTTGTCGGAGTGCGGAGCTGCAGGATGTGAGAGACGTGGCCGGAGAGAACAGGTAAGGGGACCAGCCCGGGGACCAGCCCAGGGCCCAGGAAAACCAGGCTAGGGGAAGGGTGGCAGGAGGGGATAAGGTGCTCTGACCTCAGACTGTGAGGTGCACACAGACTGCCCAGGGGTCCTGCTAAAATCCAAGCTCTGCACCAGCGGGTCTGGGTGCACCCTGAGAGTGGATGTCTCCCCAGCTCCCAAGTGATGCCATTGCTGGTCCAAACCCCATCCTCGGGGCACCCGGGTGGCTCTGTCGGTTACGCGTCCGGCTCTTGGTTTCAGCTCAGGTCATGTTCTCACGGTTCGTGAGTTCCAGCCCCGCGTCCAGCTCTGTGCTGACAGTGGGGGAGCCTGCTTGGGCTTCTCTCTCCCTCCCTCTCTCTCTCTCTGTCCCTCCCCCACTCACACTGTCGCTTTCTCAAAATAAATAATAAACTTAGAAAAAAAAGAACTTCCAAAAATAAAATAAAATAAAATAAAATAAAATAAAATAAAATAATAAATAAAATAGACCCCGTCTTCATCCCTTGAGTAGCGAAGGGCTGGGGGCTCTGAGCCGCTCTAGGTGGGAAGGTAGAAGATACTATGAGGGGGCGTGAGAGCCACTGTGGACCTAGGTGATCTGCTCCATTTTTCCTTTGAAAGACTCCAGACCTCCTGTGTGTCTGTGCCATTTATCCCACTCCGAAACCCACTCAGGTTTCAAATCCTGTCCCTGCAAAAGACATCTCTCTCTCTCTCTCTCTCTCTCTCTCGATCCTAATACTTTTTTTAAAAAAGTCTGTTCCTCCAACTTGTGGCTGTTAATGCCAGGTCCCCCGCAGGCCTCTCTGCATGGTGGCCACGTGGATTGGGATTTGGGGAAACCTGGCTAGTAGCTAACAACTCAACCTCACCACTGATGCCCCCTTGCCAGTGCTGATCGCCCAAGAAGAGCCGCCGGGGAAGATTTATTGGACAATGGGAACCCAGGAGTATTTTGCTAACGGTGACCTCGGTCACCTCCCCGGTCCCTGCATGGCTGCCGGCTTCTGGAGGGCCCGAGGCTGTGGGGCTGCGTCTGCAGAAGTTTCCCCGTGCACTAACTGGGTGGCCATGGTCCCTCTGTGCCTGGTCTGCTCAACAGCTTAACGGAGGCCCTCGTGGGGAGACCCACCGGGGCTGTTTGTCTAGGGAAGGAGGCTCTGACCTTCCCACACTCCTTGCTGCTGGAAGCAATTTGAGACCTCCTCTCGCCCACTCCCCCAGCTCCGGATGCCCCCCATAAAACCGAGCAGGCTGTCATGGATGGTGCCCTAAAAGGATGGTATCCAGGGAGGATGAGCGTCGGAGAAGGGAGCGGAGCCAACTTCTGGGGATGGGATAGGTACATGGCCCTGTGGGATGAGGGGTGGGGGTAAGGCTATGCTTGGCTCTCCGGGGGGTTCTCCCAACCCCTATGACTAGACAGGACCTGGGGACCCAGAGAGGCTGTCCCACAAAGAAAACTGCTTTCTTCCAGACCCGCTGACTAGAACTTCTCTGGCAGACGTTTTCTTGAGAATTATTTGGGCCAATAAAGCCACAGATCACTGAAGAGGGATTGAGTCACTGAGTCAAGGGTTCATATTTGGCCTGAGGCAAGTCTTGCCCCTGTGGGAGGCAAGGCCGTCCTGGTGTTTTCACAGTCCATAGGGGAAATGGCCACCCTGGTTTGGCGGGGAAGGAAGGGTAGATCTTTCCAGACCACCTCATGGTACCCCATGGGCATCAGCAAAGCCATCCATCCCACTTATGTATTTATCCAGGTTTCTACCCCCTCTGGAGGGACTTGGGGAGAAGAGAGGAAATAGAGAATCATCTGGAAGGCAGGGAGATAGGTAGGCCAGAGACAGAGAAATGTCCAGAACCAGGAGATACTGTGATATTCCATTTTAAAAATTCACAGAATTAAATGTTGAGAGACCTTAACCAGCATTTAATTAATTAATTAATTTATTTATTTTTGAAGGAGAGAGAGAGAGACAGAGTGAGAGCAGGGGAGGGGCAAAGGGAGGGAGACACAGAATCCGAAGCAGGCTCCAGGCTCTGAGCTGTCAGCACAGAGCCCAATGCGGGGCTTGAAGCCACGAACCCTGAGATCATGACCTGAGCTGAAGTCGGACGCTTAACTGACTGAGCCACCCAGGCGCCCAACTAACCAGCATTTTAGAAGTGGAGGAATGGAGGTGCTGAGAATCTAAACGGCTCGTCTCAAATTCTACATTAGCGACCACGTCAGAACTTGTCTGTCAATGCGTAGGTCAGTTTTTGTTTCTGTCTCCTAACACATGTGAGGCTTTTCATTATAAAATGTTTAAAGCAATCAACACATGCAGAAAGAATTGCTATAATTTAATTCATTTCATACATTTTATAAAAAGAAATAACCGACGCCACTGTTTTGAATCTGTGATGTTAATGGACACGTTAGGGCATTAAAAAAAGAAACAGCAACAACTGTTCATGCACCTCTCGTCAGGGCCAGCGGGTAGCTGATTGGTGAGTAGAAAAACTGACGGGTCAAATCCAGCATGACACCCTTTCTTCCCCAGACCTCTGGGCAGGACCGGCCCCAGCTAGAGGAGACATGGTGGGGCCAGGGGGTGGAGTGGGGTGACAGGAGCCCAGCCTAACCAGGTGTTCTGAGAGGAGCGGCTGGGTTTGCGGGACTGGCCTCTCCTTGCAGATTCCGGTTCAAGTCCCCTGAGAAACTAGGCTTGATGGGCACAGTGGGTCTGGCGTATTCCTGATGGTTATCTCCTCACACAGGATGGAAGCCATTTGGTACTGAGTTCTGAGCAGGAGAAAAAGTGCGGAAAGAAAACAAGAGAGGAAGGAGGCCAGGGGAGATGCCTGCTCGTAGCAGATAGGGGAACCCACTCCCTCCAGCGAGGGCCCAGGGCCAAGGGGGGAGTGGAGGTTGCCCCATTTAATGTCCAGGCATTTTAGGGTGACCTTGCATTGCATAGGGACTGAATGAAATAGAACTTTCTAAACTAGTGAGATTCAGCCATACAGAAATCCTTGGTTTAGCACCAAACAATGGTAGCTAACAGTTAACTGACACTTAAAGAGTGCTCTTTGAAGTACTTTTCTTATATTAACCCACTTAGTCCTCCCAAGAACCCTAGGAATAGATACTATTATAAATAACCCCCACTTTACAGAAGAAGAAACCAGAGGCACAGAGAAGTTGACTAACTTGGCTGCAGGCACTCAGCTGAAAAGTGGCAAAGCCAAGATTCGTACCAAGCGAGACCGGGATCTCGCGTGTTTAACCAACAGGTGGTATTATCTTTTCCGGCAGCTCTCCCAGCCAGGGTCCCCACAGAGGAGACAATGCGACTTCCTCAAGGCACCCGTAGAAATTGTCGTTGGAGTCAGCGTGTGACATAAATTGAGGAGAGGAGTGTGTGTTGGAGGGGGGTTCTAGGACATGCTGCCTGCCTTCTAGCAGCTTCTAATCTAACTGGGAAGCGGGGAGCACGTGGTAAATCAGCCTTCGTCTCACTCCTGTCTCTGAGCGTACCCACGAAACTCAGGAAATGACAGATCACATAACATAAGAATGCGTTTCTATATGATTTTAAAAACTCAGCGAAATGGTTCACACCAACTAAGGGAGTGGTTACCTCTGGGGAGGGAGTGAGAGGGAAGTATTAGGTGGGGCTTTAGTGGTAGCTGAAGTTTTATGTGTTCAGGGAAATTTCTCAAGCAGAAAATAGTCACGGTAAATAAACACGTCTTAAACCTTGTTAGTCCCTGGAGATAACCAAGCGGAAGGCCTGGTCCTGGCCCATGAGGAGTTTATATACTAGTTGAGGAGACAAACATCTATCGGAAAAGACAAACTTGCAAGGGATAGTACGTACTAAGTGTCAAATCAATAGTGGACAGCAGGTGCGGTAGGAATTTCATATCTTTAAAATTAGAAGGTTGGGCTGGGAGCTGTTTATTATGCTATTATTACTATATTATTATAATATGTATGTTAGTACATAAGCAGCTGGACCCTTTTCAGATGACATTTTACATGGACCCCAAATACATGACAGATAAAGGTGAACCTTTGGCTGCTCACCAGAGTCAGGGATCTGGAGACCTCTCCCCAGCCCATGCCCAGCATCTGTTTGTCCCAGTGCTGTCCCAAGAACCTCTGTAGCGTTTCAGAACCCGGATTCAAAACCACTAGACAAGAGGTCTCTTCAACTCACTTTCAAGCACTGGCAGCTTCAGGATGGAAGGCTTCATGGAGGAGGTGGGCCTTCAAAGGGACCTGGACACCTTGAGCGGTTTGGAGTAAGTGGAGAGGAGGGGGAGAAATCTGCTTGGTAAGAGAAGCAGCCTTGACTACCACACGGAAGGGTCTACACACAATTGGTGACTCGGCAGCTAAGGAGGGTACTGGAATAGAGAGAAGTCATACCATCAAATTTGTGTTTCAGAAAGGCAGTGCTATCAATAAAACTCAAAGGCAACCTACAGAATGGGAGAAGATATTTGCAAATGACATATCTGGTAAAGGGTTATTATCCAAAATATATAAAGAACTTACAGAACTCGAAACCTAAAAAACTGATCATCCAACTAAAAAGGGGCAGAAGACATGAACAGACATTTCTCCAAAGAAGACATCCAGATGGCCAACACACACATGGAAAGATGCTCAGCCTCACTGATCCTCAGGGAAATGCAAATCAAAACCACAATAAGATACCACCTCATGCCTGTCCGAATGGCTCAAATCAACAACACAAGAAACAACATGTTGGCAAGGAAGTGGAGAAAGGGGAACCCTCCCGCACTGTTGCTGGGAATGCACACTGGTGCAGTCACTCTGGAAAACAGTATAGAGGTTCTTCAAAAAGTTAAAAAATAGAACTACCCTAGACTCGGCAATTGCACTACTAGGTATTTACCCAAAGAATACAAAAATACTAATTCAAAGGGACACACGTGCCCCAATGTTTATTGCAGCATATCTACACCAAATTATGGAAACAGCCCTAGTGTCCATTGATTGAGGAACGGATAAAGAAGCAGTAATATATACACACAATGGAATATTATTCAGCCATAAAAAATGACTGAAATCTTGTCATTTGTAACAACATGGATGGAGCTAGAGGGTGTAATGCTAAGCAAAAAAAAAAAAAAGTCAGAGAAAGACAAACATCATATGATTTCACTCATATGTGGAATTTGAGAAACAAAACAGATGAGGAGAGGGAAAAAAGAGACAAGAAAGAGACCCTTTTTTTAAAAAAAAATGTTTATTTATATTTGAGAGAGGGAGAGAGAGTGCAAGCAGGGGAGGCAGAGAGAGAGAGGGAAACCAAGAATGCTAAGCAGGCTCCTCACTGTCAGTACCAAGCCTGATGTGGGGCTCAAACCCACAAACCATGAGATCGTGGCCTGAGCCGAGGTCAGATGCTCAACTGACTGAGCCACCCAGGCGCCCCAACAGACTCTTAACTATAGAAAACACACTTAAGCGTGCATCTGTTGCGATGAGCACTGGGTGTTGCATGGATGTTCTGAATCATTCTTTGTACACCTGAAACTAATGTTACACTGTATGTTAACTAACGGGAATTTAAATAAAAACTTACCAAAAAAAAAGTGCGGTTGGAAACAATGACAGAGTGCAAGAAGGTAATCAGGAGGCCAGTTCCAAGGCCGTGGTAGTGAGGGAGGCAAGAGAAGGGGGCCCAAGCAGGAGGTATCACAAAGTAACAGCAGATACGGGGCTACAGGGTGGGCTTAGGCTCCAAGAGGCCGAGTTTAAATCCCAGTTTTCCGCTTTTGAGGTGCACATTCTTGGCCTCTCCTGGCCTAAGTTACTTCCTCTGGTAAATGGGAGTGGTAATAGTTGGACGTCATGCAGAAATGTCCCACGGATCACATGGGGTCACGTTCGTGAAGCATTCAGGTCAGGTCCCAGAGCAAGGAGAGCTGTAGCCAACATGGTCCCTGACGCTCCAGGGGGTCATGTCACATCCCCCATCAGGATGGAGAAAGCAGAGAGCAGGCCAGGCCTCCCAGCGACTCGCCCCAGAAAAACGCTGTCAACAGTTCCCTTATCTGGCCTCGAGGCTGAGAGTGTTAAGGAGCAAGAAGGAATCGGTGTGAAGTCGCTTTCCACCTGGGTAGCGTCATTGCATGAGTCACAGATGTACTGCTTCTGGATACACAGTTGTCCTGAAGGCTGGGGTCCTTTGGGGCTCAGAGGTGAGGGGAGCTGCTGAGGGGAAGCGAAGCAGGAGGCAAGGAACAGCTTTGTGTAGGCGGCGTGGAAGCGAAGCAAGTCCTGCTGTGTATCCGCCACTTGTACCCAGAGGGGTGGCCAGGTCAGAACAGAGGCTACAGCAGCCAGCAGAGGAGCACTGGAGACCTGGAGGCCGGGGTGGTTGGTACCAGGGAGTGTCCCGCTGTCCCAGGGACCGTGGGTGTGTGCACTCGTCCAGGCTGATCCTTACTCCTGGTGTTTATGCACGTGAGCCCCTGACTTTTGTCCTTCCTGGGTGGAACCCTGTGCTTCTCCTCTTACAGCCCTTCTGTGTCACTGCTCAGTTCCCACTGCCTGCAGCCTAGGGGCGAGCCGGGAGGTGCATCACAGCCTGCCCCCTAACCCCCCCCCCCCCCCCCCGGGAGCCTCGGCCCGGCTCCGCGGGTAAGGCTACTTGTAGGTCAGGAAGACATTTCTCTGTCAGGTAGGAGAGCAGAGAGGTGCAAGAGTTGCATCGCCCCATTTCTTTTCCCCTAAGGATAAGAGCTGCTGCTTTTAAAGGGCTGTGATTGTCAGGATTCCTTGAGAGGGTGGCAGGTTACGAGACTCGTGGTCTGCAAGGACGCTGATAAGAGATGAACTCTACTTCTCCGGGAGAGGTCAAGCAACACCAAGGTGACATTAGTGGGGGGCCTTCGGCCGTGGGGGTGTCTCCACTGCCCCTGTTTTGCATTTGCTGCCTCAGAGATGATAATGTGGCCCCTCACAGACAGAATGAAATGATGCACCCCGTCTCGGGGTGACGGGTCTGGCTGGGTCACTTTCTTTAGATTTATGGAGTGTTAGACCCATGGAGGCACCCGCCTTACCCCACAGGCTGAGGCCTAGAAAGAGAGGATGCAAACACATCACACTGCCAGTCTACCCCCTCCCCTGTAAATCCGACTCTTACGAGGAGCTGAGAGTCCCTCATATTCCTGATACGACCTAAGAGTTCTTGGTATTGACCTTTATCAATTGAGGATTATCGGCACGTGAACTGCCCTGGGGCAGATAACTCAAGAAGAAGATATCCGGCAGGTGAGCTGGACTTTTCTAAAGCGCCCCCATCCTTGGGGTCTTGCCTGGTGCACCCTACCCCCCTGTGATGCAGAGGAGCTTAGCTCTTCAACTAGCACTTGGCAGGAGAATGCCGATTCCTCCTCGGTTTTGGAACCGTGAGGACGTGATTCAGAGGAGCCAGTAGCTGGGTGGCGGGCCATGGTTTCAGCCGGCCCACGACGACAAAGCTGACCATGCAGAGCGAAGCAGAGACGAGAGGTGGATGGGGAGAGGGGGGATGAGCTCAAGTCCCTGCTGTTAGCCAGCTTCACCTTAAGCCTTCCTGCCATTTGGCTACGTGGGCCAGTCGGCAAGTTGCCTTGACTTTTGTTTTGTTTTATTTTTCTCATGCTGGTGTGAGTTGGGTTCCTATCCCTTACAACCCAGAGAGTCACAGATAACCGCTGGTTTAACCAGCCCCGTTTCACACAAGGTGAAGTTGAAGCCCAGAGAGATGAACCACCTCGCCCTCCATCGCTGAGGTGGTCAGTGGCAGAGCTAAGCCAGGATCCAGTAGATTCAATTATGTGGATTCTCAAAGCAGTTCTCCCCTCAGGTGGAGTTAAGAACCCCTGCTCTGGGTCAGAGCAGTGCGTTTTGAAGGAGCCGATCAGATCACTTTCCCTTCTGGGTGTTTGAGTAAGAGCCTGGGGAGGAGAACCAGAGGCCGGAGTGGCTCATTTACCAGCAATAGTTGTATTCCAGAGCCCGACAGTTCTATTTTAGATACTCAAGTTCAAACCAAGACAGAGGATTTGTACACAGGAGCAGTGGGGTTATATTCGGACCCCTAACCTACAAGCTATGCGACCTTGGGTAAGTCCCTCACTTTCCCTAGTTTCTGTAGCTGTATGGGAATCGTACTCTCACACATGGTGATTAAATGAGGGACAGTATGTATAGAGGACATTTGTGCATGGAAAACACACATCTCACAACCACCGGCATCACCAGCATTGGTGTTCGTCACACACTGAAGCCATGGCCAACAGCTGGTGTCTCTGGAGCCCTCAGTCTATTGATTCACTCCGTCTATTCCCAACTGTCAGTATCCAAACAGGAAGGCAAAGGGCTTGACCTGAAAAAGAAATCTGAAACATTGCTTACAGCCAAAAGCAAAGGCGTTGCGTGGAGTCCCAAGGAATTTGGGGAATTCCCTTTTTCCCCCATGATGGGAAACTGGAGGCAACGGTGCCCCCTGGTGGGAAGCGTCAGTACTGCAAACCGTGGCTGTGGATTACTCCATCGGTGCCATTATCTCCAGATGTTCTTGGGTTGTATGTAATGCTTTTAAGTAACGTGTTTACAGGACTTATTCTGAAGGCCAATGTCCCTCAGTGGAGAACAGGATGCCATGGGAATCTCTGTGATCTCTTACGTCTCCAATATCTGAAGGTGCTCGTTAGGCCAGACCTTTTCCCTCTGGTGATGCTCTCTGAGGTTGGGATGGAAATAGCAGGTTCAGGACGACACCAAAATCAGTCAGAGAGCATGTGATGAGTGCTCAATCATCAGCAACTACACCTGTCTGTTTAGGTAGTTACAGCACAGTGAGGTGCAGCGACTGAGAAAGCAGGTGAAATGGCAACAGTATAATGGAAAGTAAATGACCTTTGGAGGCTCAAGTTCTACCTCTATCATTGGTGGTGATTTGGGATAAGTTTCTTAGTCACTTTGAGGCTCAGTTTCCTAATTTGGGAGCTTACTGGACTCTTTGGGCGCTAGAATTTAGGGAGGGATTATGGTGATTAATTAACATAATGCATGTCAAGCATTTAGTGTGGGCACTTAGCGTGGGCTTAATAAGCATTTATTATTTTTCTCTGCCCACTGACTATGCCTCTCTTCAATTTTCCTTCCACTTCTCCAGTGAGTGGTTCCAGGCAATGACACCAGTGCACAAATATTCATGGGGCACACCTTACCGGCCTGCATTGGCATGTTCTGGACACGAAAGTAAAAGAAACGAGGAAACAAGTTGAGTACAAGGAAAATTGACGAGAGGTGTTGAGGAGATGGAAGGACCCGAATTTTCAAACAGTCCTCGTGAAAAATGTAAATTAACGCAACTACTTTGGATAAAGAGTAGACCCTACTAAACCCGACCACATGCACGCTTCAGGACCCAGAATTTCCACTTCTAGAACATAGCCAACAGAGGTGTATATTCACCAAAAGACATGCGCAAGAATGTTCACGGCAGCACTACTTACGGTACAGTTGAATCTTGAGCAACAGGGGCTTGAACTACGTGGGTCCACGAGATACACAGATTCTTCCCGGCACAGTACTATTAATGTGCCAGTATAGTTAACATACATATAGATGTACGGTATAGTGATTCAACAATTCTACACCTTACGGTAAGTGTACTCTTAATCCCCATCATCTATTTCACCCATCCCCTCACCTTGCCTTATGATTTTTTTAAAAAACATTTTTAATGTTGATTTATTTTTGACAGAAAGAGAGAGACAGAGCACAAGCAGGGGAGGGGCAGAGACAGAGGGAGACACAGAATCTGAAGCAGGCTCCAGGCTCCGGGCTCAGCACAGAGCCCGATGTGGGGCTCGAACTCATGAACTGTGACATCATGACCTGAGCCAAAGTCCTATGCTTAGCCACCCAGGCGCCCCAATGTTTATTTATTGTTTAAGAGAGAGACAGAAAATGAGCAGAGGAGGGGCAGAGACAGAGGGAGACACAGAATCCGAAGCAGGCTCCAGGCTCCGAGCTGTCAGCACAGAGCCTGACGTGGGGCTTGAACTCACGAACCATGAGACTACGGCCTGAGCCGAAGTCGGACGCTTAACCGACTGAGCCAACCAGGCACCCCAACTTTATGATTTTCTTAATAACATTTCCTTCTCTCTAGCTTACTTTCTTGTAAGAATACAGTGTGTAATCCATATAACATACAAAATATATGCTCATCAGCTGTTTATGTTATTGGTAGGTTTCTGGTCAACAGTAGGTTATTAGTAGTCAAGTTTTGGGGGAGTCAACGTTATACACAGATTTTTGACTACGCAGAAGGGCCAGTGCCTCTAACCCCCGTGTTGTTCAAGGGTCAGCTGCAGTTCCAAATTGGCAATAGCCCAAATGGCCACCCACAGTAGAATAAATAAATCCATGTCGTATATCCAGACCGTGGAAAACTGAACAGCAAATAGGAATGAACAAACAGCAACCACAACACCACAACACGAATGCATCTCACAAACATAATGTCAAGTGAAGGAAGCTAGACAAGAGAATATACACCATACGATCCCAAAACAGGCAAAATTAATCTATGAAGTTAGAAGCCAAGCTAGTAGTTGCCTTTGAGATCAGTGACACCAAGAGGATACGAGAGAGTTCCGGGCAGGGGTGTGAATGTTCTGTTTCATGACCTGGGTGCCGATTACATGGGGATTTCACTTCGTGACTGACATTTAGTTCAGGTGTATGTATGGTGTTCATGCACTTTTCTCTGTATATGTTATACGTCAATAACAATTTATAAAAATAAAATAAATTGGGTAAAATTTGTTCAATCAAGAGGCTTATGCTCTCACTCGTGAGCAATTAGAGAAACAACCAACTGAAATTCAATGCGTATTACAGCCAGGGATAAGCCATGAGCTGCAAGTGTCCAGAAAATCCTGACGAGAGACACCCTGAATTTCTCCAGGAGGTGGCTTTTGAGTGGGACCTCAGAGACTAAAAGGGGAGGCATGTCTCGTGTGCTTAGGAAAGCCAGAATAGTTGGCCGAACGCAAGAGAAGGCGTGTGGAAGAACCCAGCAGGACATGAAGCTGGAAATGTAGGTAAGAGTTTCATGTGTCGGGTTATAGAATGCGGACTGTGTCTTGAAAGTGAGTTCTTCACCAAGGAATACACAATATGTTGTTTTGTTTTGTTTTCAAATCCTGTAGCAGCCTGAAAAATGGCCAGGAGAAAAGAGAGTAGAGGCAGGGAAATGAGTTAGAGTGCAATCACATGTGACAAGAGACAGATCATCTGAACTTAGGTGGGAGCAGTGGGAACCTAGAATAGGGCTGGGAGGAGACAGGAAAGGT